CACACATGACAACTCAACCTAACCCAACCCAGAAATTTACTGATATATGTTGACTACAGATATGATAACTCAACCTTACCCGACCCAGAGATGTAGAGTTGTTGATCACTAGCCAAGCACACCTAGAAAGACATAACGACTTAACCTAACCCGCACGCTATAAGGGCTGAGCCGTTCTAGGAATTGATAATTGCCTTGCTGTTTTCAAAATTCCTAAGGAGCCACTATTTGCCATCCTCTGGCTGTTCTCCAGCGAATAATGAACATATATGTGTGTCAAAATTATTTCTCAACGCCGAACGTATGAATTTCATCATTTCTACACACATTTATTACAATACATAAAAACATGTGCTCTTTTCAAAAAAATATATATGGTTCGACTCACCATAGTCTTCTGACCCACAGAAGTAGTATTACTGATGAGTAGTGAGACACAGCAAGCAGCATAAGCGAGAAGTTGACAGTACGTGACTTTTATCGAACTCCTAAGGAGTTACTATTTGCCAGCCTCTCAGAACAGCATGAAAACATGTGCTCTTTTCAAAAAAATATATATGGTTCGACTCACCATAGTCTTCTGAGATTTCTATATAAAAATAAGAAGGTTTCGATCAATTTGGTAAGCCAAAAAGACTTTTTTCTTGACGTAGATGTAAAAACTTCATGTATTTGTATGAAAGTGTCGAAATTAGGAAGAAAAAATACGTGGTCTGGCGAATCTAGGAAAGGACAGAAAAGAAAAAAATTCGAGACATGTGCTATTCTAATCCTTTTATCTCAATTAATATAACTGATAACTCAAATATTTTCGAGTATTCCCGTTTCGTTGAAAGCTTAATTAATTATCCCGTTTCGTCGAAACATTATTTTCCCAGTGTTCCTGTTTCGTCGAAAATAAAAATACCACTGTTCCCGTTTCGTCGCAAACACAAATTAGTTGAATATAAATTGGTTTAATTGATATAAAAGAGAGAACTATTTTATGTGTATATACAGTAGTACAATAACAAAAAAAAATCAAAGTTTCTTAACGCCTACTAATCTTGACACTTTGTCGAAGTATTCTTCCAATGTCAATGTGTGTGCTTGATAACGATGTTCCAAATTGAGCAATCTTGCATTTCGATTGACGTATAGTTTTTTTCGTGGTGGTAATGTACCAGTGGCTAGATGTCTTGATAATGTTGCGGCATTATGAGCATAATCATTTTGGATTGCACGAATAAATATATAAAAATGTGGGTGATTAATATGATTCAAATCATTATTTAAACGATAATGCCACCCCTCCAAATTGTTGTTCGTTCTTAAACTTTTAAAATTGAAATAATTCCATAACGATATATGAAATAATGCATCGTCGTCTATCCATGTACTTGTGACATAATCATAAAATTGATTAATACGTTCAATATTTTGAATACAATTAAATGACGTAAATGTGATAAAATAAGTAATATGAACACACGATCTTTTCTAATTAGATATTTTGAAGATGATTCAGGAGAAGACACTCAGGTATATTATCTTACCATTTCGCTTCAACTCTTTAGGCTTCTGCTGGAACTATATGGTGTCGGAGTCAGGATACGAGATCTTAGCTTCTGGACGTGGAATTAGGAAGAAAAAATACGTGGCGTGGCGAATCTAGGAAAGGACAGAAAAGAAAAAAATTCGAGACATATGCTATTCTAATCCTTTTATCTCAATTAATATAACTGATAACTCAAATACTTTTACATAGATCGACAGGCTTGAATGTCAGCTACGTCGCTATATAAAAAGTTTTACTCTATCTTAATAATTAACTGAGAAAAACACGAAATACGAAACCTAAAAATTTAGTGTCGAAATTACGACATGTGACTCTATGAGAAACTTTTGATTTTACTCACACAAAAAAACATTGTTCATTTTGATTGAAGCATGTTTGAGTATGTTTCTGGGTCAAAAAAATGTCTCAATAGATTTTCGTTTAAATAAAAAGATTGAAAGAGACTTTTTCTACCTCAAATAAATACTTCTCAGCTGAATACGTTTGAAATTATCGGTACACAGAGGGGAACAGATTACATGAATATTTGTTCGACTATATCCATGAGCTCAACACATTCAAGTCATATTTTAACCGATCGTTGTACAATTTCTTCTTTGATTAGCGGGACGTGGAATGTGATTCTGCAGAAAAGGCTTTTTCATTGAATCAGACAATCCCTTCTTGAGCGTAGCGGTGTTTTATGGATTCAGTTCAGTGACTGTTCAGTTTTTAGGAATCAGTCATTCATTCCGTTTGGAATGAATGTACGAATATACAGTGACGACGAACGAAACGAGAAAGATATAGATGTAGATAAGGATGATGAAGATAAAGATGAAGACAAAGAAGAAAAAGATGACGGACATTTTCTTCGTTTTTTTGTGCCGTTTGTCTTTTATAGACAGGAAAATAATTCATTCCCATGCAAATAAGTGAAACGTTTTTGTTTTTTCGTTCTATCATAACAAATGCGTCTGAATGTCGACATATGCATCGCATTAAAATGTGCTATACGCTACGGCTCTAATATGTAAGAATAAAACGGTGAATGAAAACAACGCTGAACTGATTTTTTTTCTTGTTCTTCTTTACACAGTGAAACAGAAAAAGAAAAAACTCACGTGTTGGTTTAAGCTTTAATCTTGAACCAGAACGAATTAAAGCTCAAACCAACCCACGTGTTGCGCAAAGATATCACGCCAAATGTGAGGCAATGCCTATATAGAGCATATCTTGTGCGATAAGACATATCTACTTATTTGCCATGTCTCTAATGTTTCTTTCCTCCCATACTCATGTATCTTTTTGTTCGATAATAGAGTTTTCTCTTTTAGCGTATATAGAAAAGAAAGCGTGATCTGCATGCGACATCAAGATAAAGATAAAGATACGCTAAAAGAGAAAATTCTAATAGAAACGTAGTATTTTTCGATAACACAGAAAAAGGTTAAAAGTCGACGCTATGAGAGAGAACAATACAAAACAAGGCGTTGCTTGGAAAAAACCAAGCACCTTTCATTCAGCAACTGATACTTCGTACATTCGATCATTAATCAAACCAAAACAATCATTCAACGTTGGAGTCTGAATTTAAGTGTAAATAGATAGCTGGTAAGCTTGGGTTTGCATTCGTTGCGCTGTGTAAGATAGTTGATATTCACATTTTTATAGACAAGGAATATGATTGACCGAATTTTTCAATAGTGACGATAGAAAACTGAATGAATACATGCAATTTTTGTTTTTTTATTGCATATAATTCTATGTATTAGAATATACTATACTAGTCAGAAGGAGTAGCAACAGAAATTTGGAGGCAGATATTACAATTAAGACCATTAAAGTCAAAAAAAAACCGCGTCTTTTGTCTCTAATTGCGCAACTAGCAGTATTATAACGAAGTTGACCTGAAATAACAAAGATACACATAGTACTTTCATTTAATAGATATTTTTAAAAAATCTTTCCTTGCTCTTTTCCTGATTATAAATTTAAAAGCTCTTTAAAATGTATCTACTCGTTTGTATAAAATTTCTAAAATAATTTGATAGATGACGCTAATAGTGATAAACAATGTGTAAGTACGCTTCGGAGAAATATCGAATTTTACTCAAAAATTTCACATTCATGAATAGAAAATAGCAAGAATTAATAGAAAAGTTCTCTAGTGAAAGTGTTCTATATGTCAATGTACAATTGTTACCAGAAATGTCAGTCTGTACTCAAGAGCTCAAAGCTAAAGAAATGTCATGGCGTGAAACGGAGCCAGAAACTGACATATTTTTATTTCATTAATGAAATTGAAATAGATCAGCTCTTATTGCCGTTTCATCATCTGAAACGTCTTGTTTTCCATGTTTTTGATATAAAAGTCATGGCATTTCTTTTTGATTTCGTAAGGCCCTAGGTATAGTTCTAATAGTGGAGTTAGGATTCTCCAGTATACTAGATCTCAACTTCAGGACATGGTATCAAGATGAAACTTATGGAGGATGACGTTGGACCTAAATGATGAGTTCTTATCAAAAAGAAATTGCGATTGGAGTTTGCAAAAAAAATTTTCCTGTGCTCCTCCTAGGTTTTCCTTTTGCTGTTAGTAGTATTCTGTGTTTTAGAATTTAATAGTACTTGTACATCGAACTTTATCGGCAGATTCCGAATTTCATCTAAAACTATGAAATCATTTAGGGAGTTATAGCGTTCTGAATTTTACTACATATTGCTAAAATTATAACGTATTCTCAGAACGCTATAGCGCCTGAACAGCTCCAGCTTTTCAGGTGAAATTCGAAAGCTGTCAATAAAATTCGATGTAGATTACTATTAAATTCTGAAAAACAAAAATATTATTAACAGCAAAAGAAACACCTAGAGGGACCGCAGGGAAAAATTCTTTTTGCAAACTCCAATCGCAAATTCTTTTGATAAAAACTCGTCATTTGGGTCCAACGTCGTCGTCCATAAGTTTCATTTTAATTCCACGTCCAGAAGCTAAGATCTCGTATCCTGACTCCGACACCATATAGTTCCAGCAGAAGCCTAAAGAGTTGAAGCGAAATGGTAAGATAATATACCTGAGTGTCTTCTCCTGAATCATCTTCAAAATATCTAATTAGAAAAGATCGTGTGTTCATATTACTTATTTTATCACATTTACGTCATTTAATTGTATATGCCTCAATAATCTTTTTATCAACAATTATTAAGAGTTGTAGAATAAAATATCGTAATCAGTATAGCAGAGGCCGAAGTATCATTGCTATATTCAAGTGTATCAGTACAGTCTAACAAAATGTTTAAGATCAAATAGAAAGAACACTTGAATATAGCAATGATACTCGGCTTTTCCTACTGATTACGGTATTCTATTCTTCAACTCTCAATAATTGTTGATAAAAAGATTATTGAGGCATATACAATTAAATGACGTAAATGTGATAAAATAAGTAATATGAACACACGAATAGCAAAAAGTTGAACGAAAAAATAAAAATCTGATCTTATCTAATTAGATATTTTGAAGATGATTCAGGAGAAGACACTCAGATTATAAATTCTGATAAAGAAAGAGAAATGTACAGTCAGGGACGAAGTTTAAGGGAACCTCCTTTCCCGACTCGAAATCTTCAGTCTCTTCGTTTTTCATTTTTTGTGTTTAGTATGTGGTTTTCAATGCCCTCTGTCTAATGAGTAGAGTGTGTGGGTGTCTCCTCTTCGTACCCACACCCACATCCTTCTCCTCGTGGATGTCGATGTCGAGCTGATATTTGAGCTGGTATCCAAAGTCAAATAAAACGTGCGCTACGTGTGAATATCAACCATGTCTTGGATCTATTGTACAACATTGAATCAGTAGTATAAAAATATTCTGTCGTTCATGTACTATAGATTGAACATATAAATGAAAGTTTTTTCCAGCTATAGCATCTTATAGAACGGACACAATTTGCAATACATGGAATTTTGTGCATTTTTTAAATAACGTGTAGAATTCCATAGATGAGCAAATAAGAACCTATATTTAAGAGGTGAAAAATTATGGTAGGTTTTTTTTGCCTCTAGTATCACACAATTGACAGAATGAGTATATATTCTGTAGGCCAATGGGAAATAAATACTCGTAAATCGAATATGGAAGTGCTATGAGAATCATTATTTCAAAATCATTGAAAAGTTTTCAATGATTTTGAAATAATGATCCTCATTGAATACATTCGAGCTTTCGCCAGCTTTCAGTTGGCACCATCAGAAATGATACAGACATTAAAACAGAACAAGATTTAAAAGAGGAGAAAAAGAGAAAAAAAATAGACATGAAGAGAAAATTCAGCACCCAGGTCGAAGCTTCCGACTAGGATCCAGTGGGAATTCATCGGAAGTTGTCGGATCCTTTAGACTGAATTCCGATAGAAAATCGTCGAACGTCGGAAAGTGTCAGAACGCTGGACTTCCGACAGGAATCCTGTTGATTTCGATCCTTTTCTGATGTCCGATGATTTCCTATCGGAATTCAGTCTAAAGGATCCGACAACTTCTGATGAATTCCTATCGGATCTGACGAAATCCCCTCTCCCGTTTAACCGATGAGATCCGACCGGATCCGCAAGTCGAATCCATCGAACTGGGCAGATAAAGATATGAATGAAATATCTTTATCTGCTGATTTTTCTCTTTTTCCCCTCTTTTAAACCTTATTCTGTTTTAATGTTTGCATCATTCTTGATGATGCCAACTAAAAGCTGGCGAATTCTCGAATGTATTTTTCAATGATTTTGCAATAATGATTCTCACAGCCATTCTATATTCAATTTACGAGTATATATTCATCAATTAAAAACTGTGATTGTAGACAAAGAGTTAATTCATATACATTATAGTTATATCAACTTCTCTAAACATACTAGTATCTTTATCTTATGTCTTTCAGATACATGTCGATATTCGTGAAACTGGTGATCGCCGTTTAATTTTTCTTCTTTATTTAAATTTTGATTTCTTTGCAGTGTAAATAATGTTTGCCGAAGAAGTTGAAATTATAATAGCGAATGGTCTTTGGGAACAAAGATTAAGTTTAGAACAAATCAAACAATTGATTTTCAAGGACTTATTGGTTGAAGAATCACCAAATCTAGCAGATGTGAAACTAATTGAAACTTACTATATCAAAATTCTTCTTGAATGTGCACGTGTCGAAGTCGAACGTCATTTTGATGCATGTTGTCAGAACAAAGATTTCGTAACAAATTTCATTCGAAATTCAGATGAATTTTCGACGATCACGGGCATAACAAGAATGTGCGAGCCAGCATATTATATCGTAAAGTTAGAGTCCTATTTAAGTTTGATCGATGAATATGATTTAACAAGCTTTATTACGAACTTGAAGGCTTATTTATGGAGAAGAATACTTGAAGTTGCCAACGATAGTTTTCAAGAACTTGAAATGCTGCAATATCTTACCTTATGTTTTCAGACGAATACGATACCATCTATTGTACGAAAAACATTAGTTGAATTCCAGGAAGGCTCAGCAGCACAATCATATTCTGGTTGTTTTCTAAAACTACTTATGAAAAAGATTCCAACAAATGAAACAGCCTATAGTCAGCAACTTCAAAAGTTTTTACGATTGGTTAAACATCTGGAATCGGATTATCTCTTTCTAGAGACTCAATTTTTATCATTAATTAGCTTCTATTTGACGCCTGTAGAAATAACCATAAAAGACCTGAAAAATCGATCTATCATTGAGATCATTGGTGGAGTCATTTACATGTCCGAAGAAGTACCGAAAATTGAGGAAATTATACAGCGTGAAGGACTTGTTAAAGGAATCGATGAAGTTCGATTCATTTCTTTGTTTATGTTTGAAATCGATTATGATTTAAAGAATTCTATTTGGCATGGGTTCAATGTATTTGTAATGGCTACGAAAGTTAATGTATCCAAGGAATGTGAATGGAATCTATCGGGTAAACATTCGCATAGATGGCCGAGTGCAGACTTTATTCGGCGAGTGATTTTACTGTTAGAAGTATATTCGAAGGTTCAGGGGATACATAGTGAGTTGCGTAATTTTCTGATCTTATGACGTTCTGACTCTTCGACTTTCTGAGTTTGGGACTTGCTGATCTTCTGACTTTCTTACTTTCTGATTATATGTACGTGAAGGTATCATCTAACTTATTGTTAAAGGCTCGTGTGCGAAAGCAGAAGATCAGAAAGTCAGAAAGTCACAAACTCAGAAAGTCAGAAAGTCACAAACTCAGAAAGTCAGAAAGTCATACGAATAGAACATGATGTAGTCAAAGGATATGGAGACGAATGGGTGAATAGCTGATAGAAAGCAGAAGATCAGAAAGTCAGAAAGTCATACGATTAGAATATGATGTAGTCAAAGCATATGGAGACGAATGGGTGAATAGCTGATAGAAAGCAGAAGATCAGAAAGTCATACGATTAGAATATGATGTAGTCAAAGCATATGGAGACGAATGGGTGAATAGCTGATAGAAAGCAGAAGATCAGGATATGAAACTGCATTACAAGCGCTGTAGCGAAATGGCGTTTTCGCATCGTGAGAATGAGACGCCGCATAAGGTGATTTAACTCGCGGAATAACTTTCAGGTTTGGACAGCTCTCAACATTCGCGAGAACATTTCACGAAGGCTTCCAGAGGCAGTTCCTATGGGGAGGATGGTCAGGATGGTCAAGATGGACACTCTGGTGAAAGTAGTGGTAATGTAATGATATTAGCTGAACAAATGAACAATGCTCAAAACTTGACAGTGATTCTAAATGGTGGACATGGTAGTAATGGACAAGATGCAGGTGATGGTGCTAATGGAAAAGACGGCATAGGAATTACCATGAGTGAATTGAAGGATGAATATCCTAGCCCCATACGCTTTTGGTCCCTGACACAAGATGTTTTAACATTACTTAATAAAATATTATCGAAAGGGAAAGCGGAGATATGCTGGAGAAAACCGACTGGATATCCTCCGAATGGATATATCGAAGTTAAGTTAAGTAACGGCCAAAAAATCATCTACTCGTTAAGTAGATATGGTGATTTTCAATGTTATTTATTATATAAAGGAAGTAAAGGCGAGGTAGGAGGTCGTGGTGGTTTGAACGGATTAGGTGGAGATGGAGGATTTCAAGGTGAATGTGTTGTTACAACAAAAGAAAATAAGCCATTTTCTGTTCATATCGTAGGTACAAAAGGTTCTAGGGGTCAAAATGGAAAATCCGGTCGGACTGGACAATATGGCAAGAATGGATGGGATGTTGGCTATGTAGATTATGTTTATTGGACACGTATAGATGAATTCGGTGGAGGCCACAATCAACGACTAACTATGGATTATTCTACAAATAGCTCTAGTCGAGTTTACTGTGGATATCGTTATGATGAGCTCGGATCTTCAGCTTGTTATGCGACCATTAAAACATCAGTTCTTGAACATCGTATATTAACCGAAAGCGAGGAATGGCGCGAAACACGTATTGAAGGTCAACGACGTAAAGAAGCAAAAGCAACTCGCAAAAATATGATGTCAGAAAAAGCTATGGAGAAAACATATAGTAAATACTTTGAAAAAGCTGATAATCTGATGAATACTGTATCCCAAATGCATTCCGAAACGATAATAAACTTCAATCTGATGCGACGAAAAGCAAAACAAGCATTCGAAGAAGTCGAATCGCTCAAAGAACGTTCACGTGAAAAAGTTAGTCGATATAGAATCTATGAAGTCACTAGGAAAACCAAAACTGAACCAAAACAACTAGTGAAAATGGATAGTACTATTCGTAGAGAGCAAAAATTAGGTATTATTACTAATATAATTAATAGTCCCAGTGATGCTGATCTTTGGACAACAATATTCAAAGACGAATTCTCCAGTGAAGAATTGGGAAAATTAGAAGATCACTTTCGTATATATCAAACACAGCGAAAAATCGAAACAACAGAAACAGCAAAGATTAAATTTTGGCAAAAGTTTGGATTGGCAAAATTCCGTGGTATTGTCGATGATAACCTTCTGGTGGAAATCAACGACGATATAAATTTGAATAATAATTTTAATTCGGGAAAATATTTGAAAATCTCAGATAAATCTTATGAAGAATTAGAATGGCTTCGTGAATTTCAAGGTGCAGCCTTTCAATATAGAAATATTGAAGATGCTTTTCATGAACTTTGTCAACATCAACTGTCTGCTTCGAACTTGGATATGATCAAGACTAATTATGATAAACTTGCTTCGATTAACATTGGTACAGAAAAACTTGAGGAACTTCTTCATCTTTGGCAAAAAGATGACAATCATTCGTTTCCAAAATTATCCGAATTGAAAAGAAATAAAACCGAATGGGAAAAAGTTTTAGAAGTCTTTCGTAGTTTTGACGAAAACAACTTGAATTCAACAGAGCTTAATAATAAAGTTCCCTGTTACATGGAAGAAATTTTGAACCAGGATCATGATTTAGTAAAATATTTATTCGCTCTTTTTAATAATTTTCGAACTTTAAAAATTACTAATAATACATTAGCAAAAATGATCGGATGGCTAGTCGCCGAAAATATGAATAGCAAAAATTGTGATCCAATAATCGTGAGCTATATGCAATTTGAAAAAAACTTCATGGATAAAAAAGAAAATTCGTTAAATAGTATTCTTTTAGCAATACACTCTTTGTCGCATCGATTACCAAAAGCAACTTGGCAGATCTCACATGAATATCCAACGTTTTTATTCAAAAAATCTCCAAATAGTGATTCTAAACAAATCCAAAATATTGACCAAGGATTATTAGAAAAACTCTACAATATCTATATAAAGAAACAACATGAAATAATCGACTGGCATACGAAACTTAACGAAGCCATTTTGGATATTTGTCTACAACAAATGCTATCAAATAAAACGATTGCTTTTGCACCTCTTCTTGAATTAGTTGCTTGGAAAAATGGATTACAAATTCGAGTCTATGAAAAAACAAAGTTTAATCAATTGATTTGTAACCGTGAACATTTCGTTCATGGCAAACAGATTGTTAATCTTTTAATTGGTGATAATCAAACCATTGAAAATTTAATTATTGATCAAGGTCTCATTAAACTAGATTTCTCGCGACAGAGATTGATGTCTAAATTTCAATCTGTTCGATTTAATGAAAAATACCTTTTACCTGATGAAAAGAAAATACGAATGATGAGCTTGTCGTTTACAAATTATGTCAATATTTTAAAGATGATCGTGATGAACTAGAGACTCGTTTAGAAAAATTATCTAGTGATTCAATGGAACCAAATTCAATTCTTTCATCATTACTTCATTGTTTTACATGTGATGGGTGTCATCTTGAACGAAATGAAATAATGATTTTCGTTAATACTATCCTTGAATGTTGGACTGATTTTGATATACATCCTGATTTATTTTCGTACATCATACTTTCTCATAGTCAATATCATTATATTGATGAACTTATTTTAATCAAACTTGAAAATTCAATTCGGAAAAGATTAGATGCTAAAAAAAAATTACGCTATCTACTAAGAAAAATTATGAACACATCAGTTAAAATTCTTATCATAAAAAAGTTACATGAATCAGAATCAGTTATTACTGAAGAAGCTTTTTCAAATATGCTTACTTTATTACCATATATAAGAAATAATACAACGTTACTAGATCAATTAGACCTGTCGGAATGGTCATGGACACTTAAAGAAACTTATTGGCAACATGTTTTAAGCAATGGTAGATTAGAATTCAGTGATGAAAATCTTGAACAATGTGCGTTCTATTTAGTGAAACTAGAGAATTTGTATGGAAATGAACTTGTTCAACATCTTATCAATGTTATCAAAGGCGCAACAGTTTTTTCGGCTAAAACTTTATTAATATTTGTACATCGTTTTTATGCTGAAGATATGGAATTATGTGAAAATATTCTTGATGACTTTGGTATTCTGAATTCAAAGTTATCTTCTTTATCTCTAGAATCAAACGTGCGTTATAGCGGCCAAGAGTTACTTCAATTATGTCGAGAAAATATAGCTTTATCAAGAAATTACTGTCAAATTCAAGATCTCATGACAAAATTAGGTCTTTCGGAATCTGAAGATCGAGATATTGATCGACTCGTAGAAATGATTACAAAATCACACAAAGATGATGATGTCTTTAAACATTTATCAGAAATTCGAGATCTTCTCAAACAAACAACTAATAGTGAAAATCTTGTTTTAAAATATATTGTAAATGAAATTAATCGAAATAACCAAGCGACTACTAATGAAAGCATTCTTATTGATGAAAATAATTTGCGACGTATCGTTAATTTTATACGATCAAATATTCAAGAAATTAAGAGTATTGAAAATTGTAATTTCTATATTCTCGATATTGTTAATCGAGGCATACGATTAAAACGTCGTTTTAGTCTTCGTGATACACAAAAATTAGTTGTCATGTTAATGTTAATGAATGAAAGAAGTCTATTATCACAAGTAGCTACTGGTGAAGGTAAAACATTGATTATAACAACTTTTTGCATAATCAAATGCCTATACGGAGAAAAATTAGATATTGTAACTAGTTGTTCAGTATTAGCAAAACGTGATGCTGAGTCAGATCCACCAAAGGGTAATAAAGATCTATATGAATTATTTGGTGCCAGTGTTGGACATATTTGTAGTGAAGATATTGATCAACGAGCACAAACATTCAATAGATGTGATGTTGTTTACGGTGATTTATCGAGTTTTCAACGAGATTATTTATTAGATCGTTTTTATGGAAAGAATATTTTAGGTACACGAAATTTTGAAAATGTTATCGTTGATGAAGTTGATAGTATGCTTTTGGATAATGGAAATAATATGCTTTATCTATCTCATGATATTGCAAATATGGACAAACTACAGTCATTATTTATATTTATATGGAGAAGTGTCAATCAACCAGTACTTTCATTAGATGATTTGAATAGAGTCTATGATAATACAGCCATTAAACAATCGATTATTGCAGATCTTTATGGTATGATAACACGTGATCAAGTTGATGATGATGTTTGGCAAATATTAATTAAATCGAAAACAATCGGTGAAGATGGACGATTACTTATGAATTTGAAAGATTACACAGCACATATTCGACAACTCGGATTTCAGAAGCAGAAAACTGAAAATCGGTTAATTTTCCTATTGAATACTATAGCCGATCGTCAACAATTTATTAAAATACCATCAGACTTTTATGCTTTTGTCGAACATCATCTAGATAAATTTATTGATAATGCTAAAAATGCATTATTTATGAGTGAAGGAGTCGATTATGTTATTGATGTCGATCGAACTGGATTAGATCCAGATCTCAATCCGAAAATTATTATCATCGATAAGAATACAGGCACCGATCAAAGTAGTTCACAATGGCATGAGGATCTACATCAATTCCTTCAAATAAAATATGGTTGTAAATTGTCTTTGATGAGTTTAAAAGCCGTGTTTATTTCTAATGTATCTTATTTGAAACTCTATCAAAATCTCTATGGACTCTCAGGTACATTGGGTTCACGAGATGAAAAGAAAATACTCAATGAACTTTACAATATTGATTTAATTAAAATTCCAACATCGAAACCAAAAAATTTCTTTGAAGAACGACCAATTATCGCTGCTTTTAAAGAACTCTGGGCACAAAGTATTTATGATGAAACACGGAAGAAAATTACTAAACATCGATCAGTATTGATTATTTGTGAAACAGTAAAAGATGTCGATTATATATCAAAGTATCTTGTAAAACGTGCCGTCGAAGACGCTCAACAAAATCTTAACAATACTATCTATGAAAATTTAAAAAAACCTTATATTTACAAACGAGAACATGAAGAATTCACTTTTGGACAAGGCAATGAACTATTGAGTTGTGGAAAGGTCATTATAGCAACTAACTTAGCTGGTCGTGGTACCGATATAAAACTTGAACAGAAACTTGTTGAAGTTGGTGGATTACATGTTATTGTAACATTCTTGCCAAATAATTGTCGAATCGAAGAACAAGGTTATGGTCGTGCAGCAAGGTGTGGTGAACATGGTTCCGGTCAACTTATCGTTATAGGAAATGATGAAGATGGTGGATCGTATAGCTCGAAAATATTTCAATTGAAAAATGTTCGTGACGTTTACGAATTACAACGATTGAAAACAATCAAAAATATTACGATGAAAGAATTATCATCGAAGAAAATTGTTTCAAAAAATTTCAAGAACATTATGAAGAACTTCGTAAATTATGGATATTAGATAAAGATCTCAAAGAAATTGATAAACTTTTACTTGATAGTTTTCTGGATAAATGGGCTTTTTGGTTAGATGAACATTCACAATTGATCGAAACTCAAGCAACTGATACATCAAACAGAAATGTTCTTTTTAAGCATTTAAAAAGTTTTTTGACATCAATTACGTTCGATTTTACTAAATGGTTAAATAGTTCAAGTCAGTTATTGAAATTAGGTAATCATTATGCAAAAAATAAAGAATATGATGAAGCTGAAAAATACTACAAGAAGATTATTCAAAAATATTCATATTATTTACCTGAAGCACTTTATTATATATCATTCATAACAATAAAACGAAAAACTTCTTCACTCTTAAATAAATCTGGTCAAGCTTTTCAACAACTCACACAAGATCTTCTTCAAGCTAACCAATTACTTGAACAAAGAATCAGTGATTGTTCCAATGATCAAGCCATTGTTGAATCATTTAAAAAAAAAGCAGCAAATTCTTTGATTCATATTGAAGCATTCAGTGAACAACAAAAATGTATATCACAAATCTATCATCTATTTATAAATAGTATTGAAGATATTCTGGGGCATTCAGTAATGAATAATTCTTTTATCAATGCAGAGATTAATGAAATACTTGCATTAATAAATCGGAAAGCTAAAATTAATCCGAATGAAATTAAAAATCAACAAAGCTTTGATAAATTTGATTCGATTAATTTGTCTGATTTAACACAATACAAGATTTCGACAGAAGATGGAATTGCAATTCTTGAAATTCTCAGTCGAAATGATGATGGAATTTTAGAAATTACAGAAGGTAAATATAGATTAAAAGCAAACATAGATTGTTCAGCATTACCACAATGTTATCAAGATGCTGTTTCTGCGATTCTAAATTCAAAATTTGCATATCAACTAGCTTATCAACACTTAGAAAAACAATATAATGATATTCAAGAAAATCAAAAGGCAGATATTAGCACAAAGTTACAACTTCGATTGACTTCTAAGCCTTATGAACAATTATTTTATGATTTGATCGATCGAGGTATAATCGAAGATGTACAAGTGAATTATGCAATACTTAAACGAATTGATTTGAAGGATGTATTCGAAAGACCCATAGATACTTATGCAAAAAATCATCAAAATCTTTCAAAGAAAGAAAACATTGAATTTATTAAGAAAACACTTGAACAACTTCGTTGTGGAATTGACAAATATGATACACCAGATTGTTTTTTTTCATCTCTTGAATATGCATTAAAGATGCAACAAAATTCATGTGTTGTTGAAGCATCATGGTTTTCATTGAATGGATTAGAAAACTTGATAACTCTAGAAGAACAACGTTATTCATGGAAATTTTGGAGAAATTTTGCAGTTGTTGTTGCTCTAGGAATATCACAAATTGTTGCCGGTGCAGTACTGGAAATTTTTACAGCTGGAGTTGGTACTTATGCTGCATCATTTTTGATCAATGAAGGTATTTCTTTATTTTTTCGAATTCATTCAAATTTTAATCGAAAACTCGTCTTTTTCAGGTATTAGCGATCTATTTTTCGCAGCTGGAAGTTTATTCAGTGGATATATGAGAATGTCTGGCTATTGGGAACATAAAAAATGGAGCATGGCTATGAGTGCAGTCACCTGTATGATTGGTGGTGTTCTAGCACGTGGTCGAACTGTATCACGAATCGGTAATAAAGTTGTCGGCCCGGTACGTGCCGAAGGCGGTAAAAAAATTGCTCAAATGGTTGGTAAAGAACTCATTCAAAATGTCGGAAGGAAAACAGTTATTAAAGAGACAATGAAACGAATTGGTTGTAAAGTACTTGAAGGAGTTGCATATGGTGCTGCACAAGGTGCTGTTGATCATGTAAGTTATTTTATATTTTGAGTTAGTTTTGAAACGCATATATCATTACTTTTTTTCAAATTATTGTTTTCTTGATTAAGATCGTTACAAATTATCTAAATGATGTTTGTGAAGCAATCCAGAAGACTATTACGAGCAATCTCGATGTTATCTTTCAAAAACATCCACTAAATGAAGTTGTGTCCGATGCTTACATGACTCTTGGCGAAGATCAGGCACGTTTACTCATGGATCAAGTCACCCGAGAATGTTTCGAAGGTCAATCTATGTTACAAACAATGTATAGCTGGTGTAAACGTATCTATGGAGCAGTTTCACGTGGTATTGGTGAAGCTATGCGAAAAATTGGAAAAGCTGACTCAGCTAAATCGATACAGACAGTGCTTTTAGTTCTGAAAACCTTACAAAGCGTATCGTTAATTGAAGGTGTCATGACTGAACTCGTCAAAGTGCAAGGATCTGCTAAAAAATTTCTCGATAAAGCTACAAAAATTATTCAGGAAGCAATCGATGAGAAAACATCGGCGACAACTACACGTATAAGTGCACCGACGAATGTTAAAATTTCTTGCGAACGATCAACACAACAATGGAAGCAAGTGTTAATACAAACGTCCAATCAAGCTATTGCCAATCAAATAGTTGCCCCTCTGTTGTCATTCGGTGCCAATCAATTAATCAGTCTTGCTGGCAATGCAATAAAAACGAAATATCGCTCAATGAAAGAAGAAAAATATCAAAAACAATTTGATTCTCTCAAGAAAGAGTTTGATGATAAAACAAAAAGTGAACAAATGGATTCTGATGAACATAAAAAAGAACTTCAAACTTATCATGATAATTTAATGAAATTATTAGCTAAAACAAGAAGTCAAAAAATGTTTGCTAATATTCTACGTGAAAATGTGCCCATGGATATGGTATGTGCTGAAGCATGTGCATTTCTTGTACATGAATATATGAGCGAAATGAACATAACCGGTGATGGTAAAAAATTTACTGGTATTCGTATTGTTGTTGAAGGTGAAGATGGTTCATCCCATGATTATTCAAGTTCATCGAATCCATCGCATACAACAACAATTGCACTCGAAAATAATCATTTTCTTGTGCATGGAGATGAAAATGAAAATGTTGGTACAGCGAAAAATAATTGCCTTCATCAAGCACTTGTGAGTAAATATCCTGGATTGAAAGAAGCGTTTCCCGATGGTGCAGCTTTTCGGCAACATTTGTCAAATTATGTTGAGAATGACAAATATTTGCGTTATATAATTTCTCAAGGTTGGCATAAGTTCTCCATCATCAAAGGTAGTTATGGAGGCCAAATTGATCAGAAAAAGTTTAATCAACAGGAAAGTTATAAGAAACTTCTAAGAACTCTTGAAGATGTTAAAAAACCCTCAGTGAAAAGCATTCGAATTTTTGGGGCAAGGCTCGCGAAGAGTTCAAAAAATGTGTGGACGATATCAAGAAAATCACGCCAGAGGATAAACAAGTAGATGATGCCATGAAAAGAATTCACAAGATAACCGAAAATTTCAGAACGTATTTGAATAAAGAAGTTGAACAAGATCGTGAATTACGAAAAGATCTCAAAGAGATAATGTCGAATTTTGACTCCCGTGTCGATCTAATATTTAGCAACGACTTCGCCAGAGTGCTTGAAAGATTCCAATTACGAGCTGAACAAGCTGACCTCTATCCACAAAATCCTCTTGTAGTTCATCCTGCTGATCGGGTCAATTTTGCACAAACTGACCTCGAATTAGAATCTTTAGTTGGCAAATCCGTGAAATTATCCGAACATACAAGTATTATCGCAAGTGTAATTCATGCTGAGATAAACAAAGAAGTACCGGAAGAAGGTCGTCGAGTCAATACAACTGCTGTAGGTATTCACAAAAAAACTCTATATGTAGCTGTGAATCACATTGAAAAAAGCAACGTTCAACAAAGGTATGGAATCAGTGATGACAAATGCGAGCGAATACGTGATTTGTTAATACAGAAAAATCTTCTTGCGGGACGTAATGAAATTGTCTTTTTAAAACCAGATACGATGCTGAACCTTCGTGCACCACACGCCGAAATGCAAATTTTGAGTTTTTGGAAAAAAAATGGAATATTACAAGACTGTAACGTTCTAGACTCGAGCAAACCAAGCCCAATAGGAGCATCGAAACCGATATGTGTTTGTTGTAGTACTTTAATGAGCCGTCAAAATATTCATCATACCATCCATGGAAAAGCAAACATTCCAAAAAATTGGAGTGATCCTAGGGCGATGAATGTCAGAGTGCAGCAAAAACTAAGTACGAAGTCGTAATCGATGAGTCTTGTATTATTGTCAAACAACTTCAAAACTCCCCGATGTATATCTATATTGATATCAAAAGACTTGAACATTATTTTTCATGTAAAATAAGTCATTCTTATAACTAAGAACAACAAATAAACTTATTCATGAAAATGTATCGTACTCTTTTTCAGCCTACTTAAATGAATTAGCGGAGAACTATTCTTTATCATCAAAGAAGAAATTATTTGTACTTAAGAGCGCCTTCGCCAGAACACTGAACTAAATACTATTGCCATTCGAAAGAGCATTCAAAATGACTACCAACCCTGCAATAACTCTTTCTGAAAGTGTTTTGTTAAGAGTTTAAGGACAAAATATTACGTTGGACATCACCGATTGATCGGAAAATCGTAAATTTTTACTTGTCTTTGTATTTTTGATTTTCTCAAAACCTATCAAACTTCTATCATTTGTTCATGGCTCATTCGATAGAGCGATGTTTAGTATTTAGGCATAATAATATGTTTAACTATTATTGTGTTATGCACGACAAGTCTTGTATGTCTAAATCATTGACATTTGCATTAAATTTTAGAAAAGTTGAAATTGATAAAATCTATACCTATCTCTAGTATTTAATTTGAAAGTACATCGTGCTCGTGTTTTAAAATTTCCTATTATACATGAATTGATGCAGAGTTGTCTGCTCTACAAAATGAAGCAAAATTTGTTTTGGGATTGCCATATGTATGATCTTTGTTTAAAAATACTGAAAAAAGCACTTATTTCAAAATATGAAATCTTTTAGTTTTCTATTATTTTATTTAGTCGTGGATAGTTAAACATATCATTATGTTTAAATACATATTCTTATAGGTTAAATGAATGAGCCATGAACAAATGCTAGAAGTTTGATAGGTTTCGAGAAAATCAAAAACTACTAAGATAAGCAAAAATTCACGGTTTTCCGATCAATCGGCGGTGTCCAACGTAATATTTTGTCCTTAAACTCTTAACAAGACACTTTCAGAAAGACTTATTGCAGGGTTGGTAGTCATTTTGAATGGCATGTGAAGAATTAGAAAATAGAATTTGCCGGCGGACAGTCTCCTAGTATTTACTATCCATTTCAAATTAAAAGAAACAGTCAGTGTTGGTCGAATATTTCGAGAACGGTAATAGCTAGAGACCCGCGGCTTTTTTTGTTAGATAGCCCTATATGGGGCAAGTAAATCTCATAGCAGGAACAAAAATTTTGGAACCTGCCCTCCCCCATTTTTTTGATCTTTTTGAAAGAAATCAAAAATTTGGGGTGTTAAAAAGAGAAGTTTTGACCGCTGATTATCGCAACCAATAGTCCACACTATTCTCTTCTTTCAAAAAGAAAACGCACCCTTCTACGATGTTCTGTTAAAAACGCTATCATTTTGCACAAAAGCCCTAAAAACCACCAAAGCGAGCATGGCGAAAATCGGAACTACAGCTTTGGCTCACTAACCGAGGACTTTCATTCGATGCAGCTTGTACGAAAGCCGAACTACTCCTGTTAGCGTTTCAAAATCTTCCGCCCAAGAAGTATCTGACTAATGTCGCAGCTGCTGAATCCAACGTCAAAATCGTTCGTCTTCCAGTCAAACATTGTGTGCTAAACCCAATCGAGCTATGTTGGTCACAATTAAAAAGTTATGTTCGCCGAAACAACACCCAATTTCGACTGACCGATATCATCACACTTTCTCAAGAATATATCGCAGCCCTCGATGATTGCACCGCTTTTATCGCGCATACACGCAAGGCGGAAGAGACTTTTCAGAAAGCTAACAAATATGTGGAGGAAGCTATCAATCCTGAACTTATCGATATTGACGAAGAAAAAGAAGACGAAGAAGAAGAATTTTCGATAAACTCTAGTGGCGAAGATGATTCTGAGTCAGGCGAATAAAAAATAAAAAACTCCTCTCTTGAAAACCAGCCAATAGAAGGTCCCAGTGGGATAAGGAGGTGATCTGAATGAACATCATTTGAGAACTAAAGCGCTCGACAATGTCCCTGGTAAAACCCCGATGCCTGGAAAGCCAGAAAATACCGTTTGGAACGTTCCCTGAATGATACGGTATGCATTTCCAGGGCAAAATAATAGTTTTTTAGGGCTTTTGTGCAAAATGATGGCGTTTTTAACAGAACATCGTAGAAGGGTGCGTTTTCTTTTTGAAAGAAGAGAATAGTGTGGACTATTGGTTGCGATAATCAGCGGTCAAAACTTCTCTTTTTAACACCCCAAAT